ATTTCCCAAGCGATGGGAACATCTGTTATTCATGATGGGCCCTAATAGTTTACGCTAATATGAGGACTCACAGTGGGGCCTTAGATTCAGGACAGGGGTTGGTGATGCAAAAAGACCGACCATGTGATTGGAGGGTTGGTAGTTTGAGCCCGGTAGGACTGAGTTCAACAATGTAGCCAATAATGAAACCCCAATAAAAACTCTGGACACGAAGGCTTAAGTGACATTCTTGGTTGGTGATGCATATCCATGTGTTGGGATGGTGACATGATCAGGCTCTGTGGGCAGTGGATGTGGCGGCTTCATGTTGGAGATTCTCCCAGACCTTGACCATACATCTCTTCTTTTAACTAGTCCTGACTTGTATCATTTTATTGCTACAGCAAAACCATAATAGGAAGGATAGCACTTTGCTGAGTCCTGGGAGTCATTCTAGCAAATGATCAAACCTGAGGGGCTTGTAAGCACTCTTGAATTTGTAACTAGTTGGTTAGAAGTACAGGTGGCTGGGAAATCCCAGAGCTTGCAGCTGGTGTCTGAAGTGAGGCATGTCCTGTGGAATGTGCCATTAACTTGTGACATTTGGCCTAACACTGGGCAGCTGGTGTTCAAATTACATTGCCCTGAGCCAGCAGACTTTGCACCCCACTGGGAGAAAGCTGTCTGCATCCACATAGCATGCTTTGCACAAGCACAAGCAGAAGGCCATGTTTCTGTATATCCTACCAGGCACTCTGGCTAAAAGCAGTCCAGAGAGCCAAGGACAGTAGACTTAGAAAATACGGTGAAAAGCTGCTCTGTTTGTCTGTCCCTGTTAAAATAGATACCCCAGACACACACTGCCCTGTCCCCAGGAACCTGGTGAAATTGGGTCTCAAGAGAGATTAGAATTAAAGAGGGAAGTGCATTTTAAGAGAAGGGTTTTAGAGGGAACTGGCAAAGAATTAGTGGCTAATTGGATTTGGGGACTGGTGCAAGGAAGGAGTCAAGGGTGATTCCCAGGTCTCTGGTGATGCCATCTAAACTAAGGCAGGTAAGAGGACAGGAGCAACAGGCCTGGAGAGGGAGCTCTCAAGGGGAAATGACCTCAGGCAGATGGACATGAAGATGGCAAGCTCAAGGGAGAGATCAAGGTCAGAGACAGACTTGCGAGTCATCAGCACATAGGCAGAGGCGTCTCAAGCTGGCCCATCTCTCCCTCTTGGAGAGGGGCAGGATGCCAAGATGGAGCTCTGGGAGCACCACACTGGAGCCCTTCAAGGAGCCTGGAAGGAGGTCAGATAAGGAGATGCAGGAAGAGTTCATGGTATCAAAGCGAGTGAGGAGCTCAGAGTGGCTGATTTGGCTATCATAGACAAAGATGGGTGATATGAGGATTGAGAAAGTGCTCCGTGGCCTTAGGCTGGGTGCGCTTGGCACAGAAAAAAACCGACTACCCCAGAGCTACCTCCTGGAGCAGAAGAGCCAGGGCTGCCACCAGAAGGGGTGCTGGAGAGCCGGCCTCCCCTCTCTGCTGAGCACAAGCACCTCTCAGAGCTCACAGCAAACAATCCCATGTGACCAAGGAGCTGCTACTTTTCTTGGCAAGCCTATAGTTCTTGATTTTTCATTTTGATTTTTTCTTATTCTTTTTTTAACCAGTCATTTGAACAGAATAGTTTTTGATTTTTTAAATCACGTGCATGTAGAACTTTGATAAAAATAGACATTTAAAACCCCATTTTCTTATACTAATTACTGTGTATGACTTAACACTAAATTAAATCTTTCAGCTGGCTCTCATCAGTATTTCAGAATAGATGAAGTTCACTTTAGGCATGTTCCAAGCTCCTTTGCTGTGTAACCCGTTTCCCAGGACACCCTAACGTGGGGTAAAATTCCTCTTACATTATTGTCAGTGATTAAAGATAGCCAGTCTACCTAGCAAGACCCATTGCTCAGGCAGCCCAGATCCCACTAAGGATCAGAGAAATGTTAATCCTTTCTTTATGCCTAAGAAAACACAGGAAAGGCAGAACTTCACCATCCCTCACCCTTGCCTGCCCAACCGCACAGCAGTGTGGGATGCTCCAGGATTTCAGCGGGCGTCCCCTGGTCTTCCCAGCCGATATCTGCAGCATGCAGGCTACTACCTGGTCCCTTTGTGGTGGCTCCCTGGGTACCTGGGATTTCGTCAAACACCCACAAGACCAAGGTTCCTCTTCATCTGTCTCCCTGAATGATCAACATTTCCTGTCACATTCCTGTCCCTTTATCTTGAGAAGCATCGTTTACTAGAAATATAAACAGCCACACTATAGCCAATGTGCTGAATGTGGCCTGCCATGTGTGTTTTTATGACCTGTGAGTTAACAATGGTTTTTACACTGCCAAATAGTTATGGAGAAAATGTCAAAATAATTAGTGGTAGGGACTGAATTGTGTCCACTTCCCTTCCCTGCTCAAAATTCATATATTGAAGCCCTAACCTCCAATGGATTTGCATTTGGCAAGGTTTGGAAACTAGTGGGTCCTCCACCCCTACCTGACTCCCATTTCAGAGAGGTTAGGTCCTACCTCTGTGGCCACTGTCCTGAGCTAAATGGCCCGACCCGATGAGCACATTCCCGCACCCTGTCCTCCCTGCATGTCTGGAGCATCTGCTCCCAGACCAGACCACCCTGGGACCCCCATCACTGGATCCAGACAAATCTGTCACACTTTTTTTTGTTTAATTTGTATTGAAACAGTCTCTCTCTGACACCCAGGCTGAAGTGAAGTGGCACCTGCATGGCTTACTGCAGCCTCAACCTCCTGGGCTCAAGTGATTCTCCTGTCTCATCCTCATGAGTAGCTGGGACAACAGGTGCGCCATCACACCTGGCTAATTTTTGCACTTTTTGTAGAGATCAAATATTGCCAAGTTGCCCAGGCTGGTCTCGGAACTCCTGGGCTCAAGTGATCCTTCTGCCTCAGCCTCCCAAAGTGCTGGGATTACAGGCATGAGCCACCATGCCCAGCCTAACACACTTCTTAACACAGGTCCCTTTCAAGCTCAGATGGCAAATAATTACAAGCAGATGACATGACCTAATATTTGATGTTTCTTACGGTGTGCTTATTCTCTTAATTTTTAAAAGGCTATTACATATTTACAAGTGAAAGTTATTTCAAACACAAAACAATTTTTAAATTTTCATACTTTTATGGTTGATGAATCAACATACAAGAGCATTTCAGCTTACTCTGCCTAACTATTATCACATGGCCTGCCCACTCCCTGCACCCTTAAAGCTGCAGATCAACTAGGTTGTCTGAGGCTGTCGTCCTGGTCCTTAAGCGCCCCACTGAGTCAGACAGGAAAGACGACAGTCCTTTTGTGGGGGATGGAGCCACTGACATCGGCTTCAGAGAGGTCTGGGAAGGTGCAGCAGGGCAGACATCTGCCCCAGTCTCCAATGTGGTAACCCTGTATCCCAGGGCAGCTTAGGAATTCTCAAAAAGTCAACAGCACTAGCTTGGTAGCTCCCAGTTCAGCAACCAACATGAAACCCAGCACTGAAGCACTAAAGACTCACGAAGAACAGCAGAGCAAGCAATTGTGGCAAAGCCGGGCAGAAAGAACGACACAGCAGGTTCTCAGTCCAGCTCCAGCGTGCCCGCTTAGGGAACAACAGTCCTGCCTCATACTTACTTGTTAGTAAACCACACAGCTAACTTAATTTTCCAGCTAATGAGAGCTCCTTGAGATAAGTGAACATCCCCGGATAACTTCAACCTAGTAAACAGTCAGTTTGCCGGGCCGGGCGCAGTAGCTCAAGGCTGTAATCCCAGCACTTTGGGAGGCCGAGGCGGGTGGATCACAAGGTCAAGAGATCAAGACCATCCTGGTCAACAAGGTGAAACCCCATCTCTACTAAAAATATAAAAATTAGCTGGGCATGGTGGTGCATGCCTGTAGTCCCAGCTACTCAGGAGGCTGAGGCAGGAGAATTGCCTGAACGCAGGACGCAGAGGTTGCGGTGAGCCAAGATTGCATTGCACTCCAGTCTGGGTAACAAGAGCGAAGTTCCCTCTCAAAAAAAAAAAAAAAAAAATCCAGTTTGCCAAATTAAAGACTAGCTTCACATCCTAGAGGAGACCATATTTATATGTAAATGAGAATATGAGAATATAAATCATCTGTCACTTCTCCAAATGTTTCCTGCTTAGCCCCTACTTTTTTATTCTGCTCTTCGAAGATTATTCTTTTTTTTTTTTTCTTGAGATGGAGTCTCCCTCTGTTGCCAGGCTGAAGTGCAGTGGCACGATCTCAGCTCACCACAACCTCTACCTCCCTGGTTCAAGCAATTCTCCTGCCTCAGCCTCCCGAGTAGCTGGGACTATAGGCATGTGCCACCACACCCAGCTGTTTTTTTTTTTTTTTGCATTTTTAGTAGAGATGGGATTTCACCATGTGAAATCGCCAGGATGGTCTCGATCTCTTCACAATCTGCCTGCCTCAGCCTCCCAAAGTGCTGGGATTATAGGCGTGAGCCACTGTGCCTGGCCCTGTTTTTTTTTTGAGACAGCTCACTCTGTCACTCAGGCTGGAGTGCAGTGGCACAATCATGGCTCACTACAGCCTCAACCTCCTGGGCTCAGGTGATCCTCCTGCCTCAGCCTCCTGGGTAGCTGCGACCACAGGCATGCATGCACCACCCTACCTGGCTAATTCTTGAATTTTCTGTAGCAACAGGGCTTCACTATTGAAGCCTAAGCTGGTCTCGACTCCTGGGCTCAAGTGATCTGCCCACCTCGTCTCTCAAAGTGCTGGAAATACAGGCATAAGACACTGTGACCAGCCTTTTCTTCATTCTTGTGGGTATTCCTGTTCATCTGTTTCCCTGAATAAAGTCAATTATCAATATTTCCTAAGTGTCACATTCTTGTTCCTTTTTTTTGACTAGCATGGTTTACTAGAAATACAAACAGCAGCAAAAACATTTAGTTCTTATATAAACAAATATAGTCATCTCATCTGTGCTTTCAAAGTTAAATTTATTATGCACAATAACAGGTACCATAGAGACAGGGAAGGGTTAGAAAGTGGCATCATCTACACAGAGGGAACATAAAGGCTGTGCCAGGGTATACCCCCTAACTGTGCCATCACTCCACCTTTCTTTGTCAGCCTAAAGTAGTGTGAGGTGTATTCGTCTGCAAGAAACAAGGTGGAAGCTAGATGGACCAACTGAGCAGGGAAGCCAAGGTCATTTCCATCTATCCCTAACGGTGTTCAGTACAGCTCTCTCCTTTCTGAGACCTAAGAACAGGAGGTATGCTTCCACGACAGAGTTTTTTTTTTTTTTAATGGCAGCACTCTCGTAACTACACACTGATGGACCAACCAAAGCCATCTCCAAGTCTAGAAAGGATACATACTACATGCAGCTAAAATGCCAACCACTGATCTGGAATTTTCAAGATGGCATCTTTCCTCAAACTTCTCTACCACTCATTAAACATAGATTGTAAACTGCTAGCCTGTAGACCAAATTCAACCTGTATTACGTGCCTGGCTGCCTAAGAGTCTTTAAAAATTCTATTTAGTTGGCAATACACTGGGAGGTTTCACATAAGTATCCAGGTCTGTAGCTTCTCTGAAGAAATAAATGAGAAAATCCATTCCCACATGGCAAGAACAAGCTGGAGCTAACTTTTAGATGGTGTGTCGCTCCCAGTGACTACCTTACACCCAGCCAGCCTCATGCATGCGTTACCTGCCTGCCATTCACACTTGCTCTCCTTGCTTAGCAAATGTCCCACCTCAACCTCACACTCAACACCCCTTCACAGGTTCCACAATCGGAGTGCGGTAGGGCACCCACGCGATAGCTGGACAATTCCTGGATGCCTGATTTGCTAACCATTATGTTCTTTCCAACCATGGGAACCTTGTGGAGAGCTCCAGCACTTCACTGCTGGATAAAACAGTTCCTGACCCTAGATTCTGTCATTTAGCTTTCCTTTCCAGTCACTGCCCCAATTTGCCTGGCCCTGGGTTCTGTTCCATATTGGCAATGAGAGCCTATGGCAGGGAGACTTTCCACAGTTTAGCTAAACTATCAGTGAATAGGCTTTGTTCTCCATTAAAAACCCTGTAGCAGCTGAGATGCTCCTCCTTATCCCACCTGGCTCTTCTGGAGTCTGTTCCAAGTGACAAGTTAGCAGAGTCCCGTAAACAAAGAACAGATCAGGGGCCAATATGTGCTCCCAGATGCCGGGGTGCTCCCACGGTCTTCACTGTGCTCCCAGATGCCGGGGTGCTCCCACGGTCTTCACTGTGCTCCCAGATGCCGGGGTGCTCCCACGGTCTTCACTGTGCTCCCAGATGCCGGGGTGCTTCCATGGTCTTCACTGTGCTCCCAGATGCCGGGGTGCTCCCATGGTCTTCACTGTGCTCACTGTTCTTACTTTGATCCTGATTTGGCATCTCTAAACCCAGGCGGCGTAGAGAACGTACAAAGAAGTGAGGAGGTTTGCAGACCAGGTTAAGTTCCTCCTTCCTGGACCCCAGGGCAGGCAGGATCAGCTGCCGGGCATGCAGGTGAAGAGGGATGTAGCGGGCCTTCGACTGTTCCAGCCCCAGCTTCTTCAGGGTACCCACAGATAGCTTCTACAAAGAAAGGACAGACCCTTGAGAGCAAGGCCAACAGGCCACCCATGACGAACACACAAGTCAGGAGACTTCCACTTCCAGAGAACCAACACTAAGCCCCTGGAAGGCACAGTAATGGAGAGCCTGCTTCAGGGGCATGTCTAAGAAAGGATCAGAACCTAGGTAAGGGAAAAATGACCACACCAAAGATGTTCGTTTTAGCCAGTGCTTTTTGGCCTACCAGGAGAATGGGCTGTGGCTTAAGGATAAAAAGCCTTTCCCCACGGTTCTTTCTCGAGATGAAGTTTTGCTCTGGTTGCCCAGGCTGGAGTGTAATGGCAGGATCTCGGCTCACAGCAACCTCTGCCTCCCAGGTTCAAGTGATTCTCCTGCTTCAGCTTCCCCAGTAGCTGGGATTACAGGCATGCATTGCCACCACGCCCAGCTAATTTTTTCTATTTTTAGTACAGACAGGATTTCTCCATGTTGGTCAGGCTGGTCTCGAAAGCCCGACCTCAGGTAATCCGCCCACCTTGGCCTCCGGAAGTACTGGGATTTCAGGTGTGAGCCACCGTACCAGGCCCCCCATGGTTCTTTAGCAATAGCAGGAAAGGCTGCTCTCAGCCTTCAGAAACACTCCTCCCCTTGCCCACAGCCTCCCAACAAAATCAGACTACACAAATGAAACAGTAAGGTTTTCACTAACAAACCTGCAGTTCCAAGAAGACAGTCACTGACTGCTTCTAAATTTCTCTAAAAGCAAGATAAAGCGCTTGGTACCATGTCTGAAGACAATCAATAGGTTTTGTTGTAACTCGTTTCAGAGTTTTAAGAAAAGGAAGGCCTAAGTTCTCTCTCATATCTGTTGCACATTGTGTCAAATTAGTATTACCTGAGGGGCCAACCTGTTCCAGTCTGAGTACTTGTGGTCCCCAAGGACTGGACAATCCAATCCAAACGACAAGTGAACTCGAAGCTGATGTTTTACTCCTTAAAAGAGAGGGAAAGAAAACTTGTGAGGAGCTATAGAAACAATACCAGTATTGGCAACTGCTTCAAATCATATTAAATCACAGTGCAGTAAACTGGCCAAGCCCCAACTATAATAAAGTATAAGGAATAATATAACAAACTATAAGCTACGTAGCACCAGACAGCTTAGGAAGTAAACGTTGTAAATACTCTTAAGTACCCCTCCCTACCACAATTCCCTCTTTCCACCATAACCATTATCATGAACCTGGTGTCCACCATTACCCCAACTTTTTAGTAATTTTACTACATAATGACAAGTAGTATCAATTTGCACATTATTTGAATTGTAGTAAAAAATATACATAAAATTTCCTGTTTTAACCACTGGCAGTAAATGCTAAGTCCGTGGCATTAGGTGTATTCACACTGTTTTTGCAATTCACCACCATCCGTCTCTAGAACTTTCTCACCTTCCCAAACTGAAACTCTGGACTTATTAAACAATTCTCCATTCATCTCCCCTCCTTTATCCTACCCTAAGATTTTGGCAACCACCGTCTACTTTCTGTCTCTATACATGACTCTTCGAGGTACCTCACATGAGTGGAGTCACATAGCATTTGCCCTTTTGTGCCTGGCTTATTTCACTTAGCATAATGTTTTCAAGGTGCTTCCATGTTATAGCATATGTCAGAATTTCCTTCTTTAGTTCTTTTAAAGCTGAAAATAATATTCTACTGTACGTATATGCTACGTTTTGTTTCTCCATTCATCCACCAATGGTCACTGGTCACAATCCTCACTTTTTGGTACTGTGAATAATGCTGCTATGAACATGTGTGCAAATATGTGATTATTTTGGGTATACCCAGAAGTGGAACTGCGAGATCCTCTGGTAATTCTATGCAGAATCATTTTGAGGAACCACTCTGCACAGTTTTAAATAGAGGTATTCAAACTGTTTGTATTCTTTTGTGAGCCACAACCATTCCTATGGGAGCCCCCAGCCTCAGATTAGCACCAGAAGCACATTCTCACACAAGTCAGCCACAACACTAGCTGCTCAGAACGAGGCCCCGGACAAAACCTGGTGGCACAGGGTTTTGTGATCCCACTGCGGAAAAGTGACACCCTCACCAGTGATGGGATGGAGCTCCATGAGGGCGGAGGAGAGAGTGCTGCTGAGCACCCGGTACTGAGTTACAGCAACTTGTGCGTTCCGGCTGCTCCGCATTTTCACCATTTTCCCATCTTCCATGCGGTAGCTCGGAGACAATGTCATCTGAAGCCAAAGAAATCAAGATATGATTCCCAAGGAAGAGCAGCAACCCCCATGCCTCAGAGAGGCTGCTTGCCCACCTTGTGGTGTTGCTGCTGGCCTTGGGCCTCCTTCTCCACGATGGGGATGTCCACGACTCCTGCTGAGGGTATGGGGACACGCACAGTGATGGCCCTGGGGGTGACACAGATCACTGCTTTAGCCAACCAAGCCCAAAAGGAGTTCCTAGATTTGGCTGCTTGGAGGATTTCATGCTGGATCTTCTGCACTAATGTGTGATTTCTTATGGTCGAAGGGGCCTGCAAGATTCTCTTGGCGTAATGCTTAGCCTGAGAGCTGATACATTTTACAAGCTTATTTTTTTTACTACTAAAGTCACACATGCTAACTATAGAATATTTGGGGTAAAAAAAACCTATAATAACATGGTCTTTCTAGCCTTTAAAAATGGATATGTACAGTTAAAATTATGATAATATGGTTTTATATTCTGTTTTTCTTTTTCAAATGATAAAAGATTGTAGAGTCTGACTGCATGTTAAATGAACAAATGAATAATTGGATAAATGAACCTAATAAAAAATTCAGAGAATTGTTCCTGGCTTATTTGTCACATAGGTAAAACAGGAGGAAACTGTACCCAAAGAAGTTATAGGGGCTGGGCGCAGTGGCTCTCAGCTGTAATCCCAGTACTTTGGAAGGCCAAGGCGGGTGGATCACTTGAGGTCAGGAGTTAGAGACCAGCCTGGTCAACATAGTGAAACCCCAGCTCTACTAAAAATACAAAAAAAAATTAGCCAGGCGTGAGGGTTCATGCCTGTAATCACAGCTACTTACAAGGCTGAGGCACAAGTATTGCTTTAACCCAGGAGGTGGAAGTTACAGTGAGCCAAGATCATGCCACTGCACTCCAGCCCTGGGGGCTGGGGCAAGAAAGTCATAGGAACCACAATCACAACTCAGTGACTCATTCCAAATCACTTCGGTTGGTGTTCTCCCTCTCATGATCTCTCAGACATGGAGAAGACTGCTAAATCTGTCTGTAAATTTATGCCTCTTTCAGGTCAATGATGGAAGAGTCCATCTGGGTACCTGGTGGCCTGTTGTATAATCACTAACCAAGGGATGAAAATCCCACTGAGACACACCGTTTCACAACGTAGACACTCCTCTTCCGGTTGGTGGAAGTCTGAGCTACTACCTGGTACATTTTATCGTATTTTACAGATTTCGTAGATCCTCTGTGATAAGGCTGCCCTTCCTAATGATATGACACTACAATTCAAGAATGTTCAATCAGTAAATATTCACTGAATGGGTGAAGCACTGATTTGGGTAGGTATTAGCTCTATACAGAGAAACAGGACAAAAATCCCCACTCTCCAGAAACTCAGAGTTTAGTAAAAAGATTCAAACAAATAAGCCAGGCTTGGTAGCAGGAGCATGCAGGCCCAGCTACTTGGGCGACTAAGGCAAGACTGCTTGAGGCCAGAAATTTGAGGCTGTCAGTGGGCTATGATCACACCTGTGAATGGCCACTGCACTCCAGCCTGGGTCATATAACAAGATCCCGTCTCAAAAAAAAAAAAAAATTTCAAACAAGTAAGTATAATAATTAAGTCTGCTATGAAATTAAGTTAGCAAATGTTAATCAGTTGCCTACTATGTTCTAATTCTACTAATTCCAACTTCTATTTCCTGTATCCAGTATTTATGACTGTCATTAACTGGGCTGCAGCCCACCTTTCCAGCGTCATCTCCCACCATCGTCCACTCCAAACAGCATGCAAGCCCTCCTCCTTTGTGCATGCCACCCCATGATGTAGAACGTATTTCCACCTTCCCTATCAAATCCTATTCATTCAGCAAGACCCAATTGATCGATTTCAATTCCTCCATGAACCTGATACTGAGAATGGTTACCAATTTTGAACCTTGATGTACAATTTTCACAAATAACATAACATGTATTTTGTAGTCTTAATATTTTGATTGCTTGACTAGATATAATAATACTCTATTTTTTTATTTTTTAACTTTTACTATGAACTACGTACTGTGTTAAATATTTCACGTGAATCGATCTCATTTAACCATGTCATAAATCCTATTATTTCCATTTTTTCATATAAAGAAAACAAAGCTTACGGAAGCTTAATAACTTGCCCAAGGCCCCATAGTTGGTAAATGACACTGCTGAGATTGAACTCAAATCTTTTTGAGGTCTTAGCTGCTGTCCTAAATTTCTCCATTCTCCATAATCTCTTATTATAGTTGTTCTTAAATCTGATTGTACATCAAATTTTAAAAGACAGGTGCCAATCCGCACAACCAACAGACTTATGAATGAGAACCTCTGTAGGTAGGTCTCAAGCATATAGACTTTTAAAGGGTTCCTCAGATCACAAAGTATCTGCAAAATCTGTGATATAAAAAAGGACTAACATTCAAAATATAAATGAATACTTCCAAATCAAATAGAAAATAATAGCCCAGGCCAGGCATGGTGGCTCACGCCTATAATCCTAGCACTTTGGGAGGCTGAGGTGGGCAGATCACTTTAGGTCAGGGGTTCAAAATCAGCCTAGCCAATAAAGATACAAAAATTGGCTTAGCATGGTGGTGTGCACCTGTAATCCTAACTAACCAGGAGGCTGAAACATGAGAATCATTTGAACCCAGGAGGAGGTTGCAGTAAGCTGAGATTGTGCCACTGCCCACCAGCCTGGGTAACAGAGTGAAACTCCATCTAAAAAAATAATAATAATAAATTAATAAACAATCAAATAGAAAAATAGGCAAAAGAAATAGTCTATTCCCAGAAAGGGAAACCCAAATAGCCAAAAAACATGCAAATTGATAGCCAACATCACTATTATACAAGGAAATAGAAAATATCTTTTTTTTTTTTTTTTTTTTTTTTAATTTATCACAGTGGCAAACCCTTTAAAAATGCTTTGGCTGATAAGGGGAGGTGGGTACTCACCACTGCTGGTGAGAATATAAACTGATAAAACCTTTGTGGAGAACAATGTGAGTACTATTAAAATTTTAAATATACACACCATTCAGCCCAGCGATTCAATTTTTAGAAATTTATCCTAAATATACATTCACATATTCTTTGTAATAGGCTCTGAAAAATGAGAAATTACCTAAATATCCATCCATACAGTCTTATTTCACAGAGCAATTAAAAAGGAGACAGCTCTAAATGTACAACACAAAACGCTCTAAGATATATGACCTGAGTGAAAACTGCAGGGTACAAAACAGTGTGTAAAATACACTGCCATACAGTAATATGCTTGTATGTGCTCCATAACTCTGGACAAGACGTCAGTCACAGCGATTGCCCCCGGGGAAGGGAACTGCACAGATGGGGAGTACAGGGTTTCCTTTTTGCTCATGCATCTTTTTTCTATTAAAAACATTGAGGTAAACCGCTATGTGCTAACATGGAAAGATCCCCAAGACAGAGTTGAGCAGGGGAAAAAAGTATGATATAAATTCTACAATGGGATATATATAGAAATATGCATGTACATATCTACACACACACACATACTGTATATGCTAGACATGTATGTAAATGCATTGAGTAAGAACCAGAGGAATAAAAACGAAACTGATTACATGGGTTGTTACCTCAAGGAAAAAGACTAGAATGGCAGAGTAGGTGGATTCTCCAGGAGTTTTTCACATCATCTTTGTTGTTTGATTATTTTTAGCACAGGAATAAAATCATATATTACTTGTATAATTAATTGTTTACTTTTTCTTTAGAAACAGGGTCTTACTCTGTCATCCAGGCTGGAGTGCAGTGGTGCGATCATAGCTCATCGTAACCTCAAACTCCTGAGCTCAAATGATCCTCCCCGCTCGCTCAGCCTCCCAAGTGGCTGGGACAGGTATGTGCTACTGTACTGGGCTAAGTTTTTACCTTTTATAGAGAAAAGGTGTCACTATGATGCCCAGGCTGATCTCCAACTCCTGGCCTAAAGTGATCCTCCTACCTCTGCCTCTCAAAGTGCTGTGATTATAGGCACGAGCCACCATGCCCAGCCCATGCTTGTATAATTAATTTTTGATAGTTTTGATGTATACCAGAATTAAGAACCATTGTTCTATCAGACTTAATATTCTAAGCACCAAAGCTGTTTCACATACTTTTTATAATCTCACAGGTCCTAGAGCAGTGACTTCTATTAATGGGAGTTTCTGCTCTTTAATGAATAAATAGATGAAAGAAATGCCTCCACTTATACCACCTCTACTGCCATCAGCAGGCCTCATACCAGTACTTCTTCACCACCTGACGGATTCTAAACAACTCTTGGACTTGATGTGCCATGTCCTTGTCCCAAGCCAACACCATTACACCTGTGGTTTCCTTGTCCAGCCGGTGGCACAGATGCAAGGGCTCTGCCTTGCGGCCATGAAGCATCTTTGCCAGGATAGGTAGTACATCACTGATGCAGAGCTGGACCCCAGGGCCACCTAAGAAGGAGAAAGCCAGAGGTTTGAGTGGCCAGAAAAAGATCTCACCAAAGAATTACTGGGGAGAAAAGCCCTTAATGGATAAACCGTTAATATTTTCTAGAGCTTTACTACTGAAGTGTGGTCCAGAGACCAGCAACAATGGCATGTCCAGGGAGCTAATCAGAAATGAATATCCAGCTCCCAATCTAGACTACTCAATCAGAATCTGCATTTTACAAGCTGCCCAACAGATTAATAAACATATTAAAGTTTGAGAAGCACAGTCTAGGGCATGTGGCTTTCTTCTCAGACATCCTTTGCAAGACCATGAGGCCCTTGAGAAGCATTAAATAAGAGTGATTAAGATGATGGGCTTTGGGGTTAGACATTCCTCGGGTTCTATTCTACTCTTCTTACTAGCCATTTGACCTTGGACACATTACTTCTCTTTCCAACTTTACTTTCTTGTTATAAAATGTAAATATCTGGAAAACAACTTCATTGGGGAATGGGAAGGCAAAAGGCTGTTGCAAAAATCAAGGGAGAAAAAATTATAGGAACACTGGGCAATGTCTGATTCAATTCCTCGTCTTTATGAAGGACTATCTCCCTATCTCCCCAAAAAGCATTACCTTCTTCTAACTAAAATGGGCCTTCTCCCTCTGCAAAATTCTTTCACAAATGCTTTTAAATCAATCTTTCCTGACTCACCTCAGCTGTTCCTGACAACACCACACGACATTTGTTGAAACATTTGAGTATCTACTAAATTCCAGTCACTCTAGGGTTGTATGTTACATATACTCCAAAACAAACACACACACGCACACCCTTATTTCTTATGTATCATTTTCTCATTCCCAGTTTTGATGGAAGATAACCTTTAGTCGAGGACCACACAACCTTTGCATATCTCTACAGTGGTCCCTGTGGTCTGCACACAGCGTATTCCACGAATTGCTGTTTATTGTCAGATGTTTGAAAGGTGAGGACTCTTATTTATTTATTTATTTGTGTGTCCTGGATAGTTCCTTATATTGGACGGTAGTCTACAAAGGTTTAATTAATTTGAATGCAAGGCTTCAGAGTGCACCACAGTAATGTGGCAGTTTTCCTCGATTGTAGCAGAAAGCAGCTTACCCTTTCCCACGTGATCCTTACCATGCACAGGGAGACCGTAGGGCTTATTGATGACCACAAGGTTCTTGTCCTGGTGGAGAATTCCTCGGGTTAGTGCCTTAGCAAGTACGTTGGGGTGGACTCGCTGTAGCTGCCGTGTGTACCGCACTAATTCTTGCACTCTCCGCTGAACAGGGTTTGTGGACACCTAGGGAGAAAGAAGGAGCGGTGGGGAATGCCTGGTGCGGAAGCGTGGAGAATACCTTCCATAAAGGTCTGGGTGAGAATCTAAGTAGGGAATGACTATCTTTGCATCAGACCCGCGCCTTCCTCGAGCAATCTGAGAGCAGGGGTACGCGTCTGGCTAACCTGCGTACCCACGCAGTGCTTAGGACTGTGCCTGACAGTAACCAAAGACCCAGCTCACGGGAAAACACCGTACCCTTACTGACCCCTCCCCTCCGCCTTCTCCCCACTCTCCCACCTTGCGTCCGGGGTATTGACTTACACGCAGAGGACCCTTCTACTTACTCCCTGTCTGGGAAACCAATGAGCGCACTGCCTTTTGGGAGTTGTGGTCCCTTCGCACTCACCGGCTCCTTCTTTGTGACTTGTTCCTGTTTCTGCGCTCTGAGCTTCTCCGCTAATCTCTGAGCATTTAAGGGATCAGAGGCAGCGGCAGCAGAACAAAATGGCTTTGAGACGAGAATGAAGAGACTCCCTAAACCCTGGCCGTTTCCCAGGATCCAGAAGCCCAACATGCTCCACCTGGGAGCCGCCATCTTGCCAGGAAGGGCGGGGCGAGCCAAGACCACGCGGAGAAGTGATAAAAGAGGGAGGCGGGAGTGGGTGGGCTCTGCGGGTCACGTGCGGGGTGGAGCCTGGGCGAGTCACGTGGGGCGGTCGCGCTCAGTGCGGCTGCGCCGGCCGGTAGCTGCAGCTGGAGCGGTGGCGTTTGGAGGAGACGCGGTGAGTCTGTAGGGAAGACGGGCTGGGGCTGGGACATTCCGGTGCCTCAACGCTTTAATGTTTTCCGCTTCCCCGGGATTTCCGTTCAAGAAGAGCACTGGTCTGAGAAACGCTTCTCCTTTTGGTACACGATCCCACCCAAAAGCTCCTCCCCGCCCCCGCGCCCCTTTAGAAGCGATGTCCCATAAACGCTCTTGCCAGAGCCCTCTTAGGCACCAGCGTCGTCCCTCTCAGTTACTCAGTCTCCGGTTATCCGCCAGTCCCCTGCGGGACGCGTCGGTTACCCTCTTGATCGGATGCCCGGATCTCTGTAGCCTCTCCATCCTTCGTCTTCCAACTCCCAGCCTCTGTTTCACGTTGTAACCTGTCCCCCTCTCTTAAGGGTGACGGTCCCTTCGCTTATCTAGGGCCCCCAGCCCCTATTTCCTACTTAGGGAGCAGTGTGTTTTTTTCTGTCCTTCCTCAACAGTTCATTGCTTGGGGTCTCCTCCCTACCTTCCCTACTCCTCCTAAAGAAAAGGCTGAAAGTATACGGAGCACAGACCTTCACTTTTCCTGTTTCCTTTATTTTTCCTCTCCATAGCTGCAACCATACCAAACCCTTTCCCACGAGATGCTATGTTGGGATTCCCTTGCCCAAACTGCTCGCGACTCCCTCTGATTTCACTCAGGGGTGGCTGGGAAGATAAACATCTGTTTGGGATGGTAGCGTTAAAAATAACTTGGGCTACACCTGCCATTTGTTAAGAGGAAGGCTTATGCTGAGTTCAGAAAGAGTGTCCTGAAAACTAAGGGATCTGTGACGATAGAGGAAACAATTTTTTAAGACTGCTTAGAACGAGGGCTGCCTGAGGAGTTATTAGAGAATAGGTAGTTGAATTAGATTTGGGTTCTACACGTCCGAAGGGGATTGGCAGAAGGGAGCCATACCAACAAGAAACAAAGTTGATCAGGTGGAGCTACGCATAGAAGATTCGAGTTGAAGAAGAGTTTTAACTAGAGGTGATAAGTAGTGGGGAGGCTTTGAAGCTTCTTGCGTAGACAGAGACTCCTTGAAAGTGAAATTCTGAATCTGGCAGTTGAATGCTGGACAGATGGAAAAGGAAAGCGTTCATTGATAGCATGAAAACTAGCTGCAATCCAGGTGGTCAGTGATGAGGTCATACTTCATTCAGTGGTCTTTTTCCCCTAACCTGTAACTGTCCTTTAAGTTTGAATGGATTATGAGTTATGCAGGTCAAGGCATACTCTTGGCAGCTACTGTTGATCTGTGAGTCCCTGGAAGACTTTTTTTTTTGAGACGGAGTCTTGCTTTGTGCCAGGCTGGAGTGCAGTGGCACAATCCCGGGTCACTGCAACCTCCGCCTCGTGGGTTCAAGCGATTCTTCCGCCTCGGCCTCCCCAGTAGCTGGGACCACAGGTGCGTGCCACCACGCCTGGCTAATTTTTGTATTTTTAGTAGAGATGGGGTTTCACCATGTTGGCCAGGATGGTCTCCATCTCTTGACCTCGTGATCCGCCCAACTTGGCCTCCCAAAGTGCTGGGATTACCGGCGTGAGCCACCGCGCCCGGCCAAGACTCTTTTTTTTAAATCCACTCACCTGGCGCATAGTAAACTCATATCTGTTAGATGGCTGAAATGCATCATAAATGTGCGCTAGGTGTGTCTGGACATTTTGAATTGTCTTATTTCTGTCAATGTTTAGCCTGAAGAATGAAGGTACAGGCAGATATATTTGTAAAGTGGGAAAGAAGCAAGGCTTGTGTATGTTTCTGTTATAAGGCAGGTGTAAATGCAGATCAGATATAAATCCAAAGAATTCCAGGGGAAGTGGAAAACAACATATGTTTCTCCTGTCGTCCCCCCTTCCCCCCCCCACAAAGTTACCAGTAGGACAGAGATCTATAAAAGCTGAGAAATTACACCCTAAAAAAATTATTACTTTCCATGCTCCAGACCTAGCTTCTAATTTCACTAAACAGTTGAATGTCACCTGTTGCTTAGATATTTGAAGCTGTCTTTTCCAAGGACCCTGAAATTTTGACATCAAGACTTAAATTCATATCATTACATTAATTAAAAACTTGTTTTGGGTACAGCACATTTATGGTTTTGTGTGGGGATAGGAGAACCTGTTTCTACCCTAACCTTATGGCATTCAAGAAACTACACCTGTTCTCGCAGAATTGGCCTTCTGTGGCAGGAAACAAAATGAACCAACTCATGTGTCATTGCTAGTGACACAGAGCTTGTGCGCCAGGGTTTCAAGTGAACTCAAAGCACACACTTAGTGACTAAGAATGAAAACATTGGTCCCTTTCCCCTGGAGAAGGAACTTTTAGGTTTGTCTTGTTGAAATTTTGTAGAGAAATTGAAAGAATTCAAAGTTTTTGTTTGGTTTGACAGTACAGCTTTAGCCAGTGTGGGTACATAAGTTACCACTTCCTTAATGTTTCTCCTGTGAGTTTAGGCACTTGGTGATTTAAAATAGAGTTGTTCTCGGTATAAAGAATTTATGCAATTTCATGTCTTTTTTTTTTTCTTCAATTTTCAAAGAGCAATAATCACCCCTCAGATTAACCTCATTGGCTGCCATACTGCCACTGCAGAAAACTTTTTTTTTTAAATCTCTATGTTGCCGCCTCCCACTTCCTCAATCAGCTGGTCCTTTTTTAGTCAGTTCACTTTTCCACTTCTGTGCCAATGTCACAGTCCATTTGTTGGGAACTCCTCTTGTCTAAACTGTTTTCTTAGAACAAGGAAGAAAATTCTATTAGTGATTTCTTTATTCGTGGAGAGTACAGCTCTGTTCAAACATGGCTTGTTTACATTGATTTTAATATATCATAATATGTGCCCCCAAAATAACCATATAAAGAAACTTGATAGTTTCTTTTTAAAGATATTTCCCAGTCTATGCAGGAACAAAAAGGCTGCCTTTGTATTTCACAGGTATAAACAAGGACTGACTAATAAAGGAACGTGTGTTTATCACAAATTTAAGACTCATTAGTGGCATAAAGTTAAGTTACACCTCCTCAAACAGTGATTTGCTAGTTGCAGATTAACCAGTGATCCCGTTCCCTTGAAGAGCAGATTATTTCATTGTTTTATAGTTTTAGAGAGATTAAAGGAAGTAAGTAGCAGGAACTCTCAGGAGGTGTCCTGGAAAGTGCAGTCATTGGGAGCCAGGAGGTGTGGACTAGTCCCAGTTCTGCCGCTGTGAACTTGAACAAATAATTTGGGCTTCAGTTTTTTGTTATTTAAAAGATCTTTGCAACTCGAAGTTTCTAGTCTAGGAAGATTTTCCATTGATACTTAATTACTTCTCTTTCAGCCCTGATTTGTGGAGTTATTTCAGATTTATCTCAAATACATTTAGTATTGACACTAAGCAACTGGATTCTTCTCTTGTCCCCAGAATTTAACTTTATGCTACAGAGCTAATGTTTATATTTGGAGGTTACTTCCTTGAGTGGTGTTGGAATATACCTTAAGATTTCCTAAATGGGGTGGGGCACATGGCTCACACCTTAATCCTAGCACTTTGGAAGGCCTAGGTGGGAGGATCTTTTGAGACAAGGAGTTTGAGATCACCTGGGCAACACAGCAAGACCTATTCTCTACAGAAAATCACAAAGTTAGCTGGGCATGGTGGCACACCTGTGATCCTAGCTGCCCCTGAGGCTGAGGTGGGAGGATCACTTAAGCCCAGGAAGCCGAGGCTGCAGCTGCAGTGAAACAATTTCTCAGGCCAGGTGTGATAGCTCACACCTGTAATCGCAGCACTTTGGGAGGCGGAGGCAGGTAGATTGCCTGAGGTCAGGAGTTGGAGACCAGCCTGGCCCAACATCGTGAAACCCTATCTCTACTAAAAATACAAAAATTAGCTGAGTGTGGTGGCACACGCCTGTAATCCCAGCTGTTGGGGAGGCTGAGGAAGGAGACTCTCTTGAGCAAGGGAGCTGGAGGTTGCAGTGAGCCAAGATCATGCCATTGCCCTCCAGCCTGGGTAGCAGAGTGAGACTCTGTCTCAAAAAACCAAAACAAATCAAAAACCATTTGTCTGCCCTTCCTACCTAATAGTCCCATTTTTTAGAGGCAACCAGTCAGTTATTTTCCTCTTTTCCTGTCTTTACGTAAGTTGTCAACATCACCAGTATTCTTAAAATACGGTATAACAAAACCAGTTTTACCATATAGTTTCTATGCCATTTTTCTGGTCACAAAAACATACCCAACTTTTAAATAAAGACCAAAACATTTCTAATATGAAACACTGAAACAAGTAAGATATTCACCCACTTTTTGGTGAGTCAGTAAGTTGCTGCAGTCATAGTGGTGGTGGGTTAAATCAAGGAATAAATGTGCACAAAGTGAAAAGTGTCAGAAGCATCTCCTGCTATGCTCAGTTCCAAAAGTCCCCCATAGGGCAGGCTCACTGAGAGCTTTTGTACCACATTAGTTATTGTGCATTTGGATGATTACCATAGCAGATTTTTATTGATGGTAATTTGTAGTCATTCGTGCTTTTTCCAGCTCAGGCTCACAGGTGGCTAGAGCCTGTGCCGGCAGCTTAGAGCACAAGGCAGGAGCCAGCCCTGGACAGGACGCCATATATCCCATAAGGTGTGCGTACATGCACACACAAACACGGGGACCATATAGACACACTAGGTAACCTAATAGGCACACCTCTTTGGGACGTGGGAGGAAAGCAGCATACCTGGAGAAAACCCACGCAGACGGTCACCTCAGCCAGGAATCACTTATTTTCTCATTAATGTTATGAAAAAACGAGGTTGAACAAT